GTGGTGGACGACGGTGGTGATGGACGGTGATGGTGGACGGTGGCGGTGGCGGTGGACGACGGTAGCGGTGATGGTGGACGGTGACGATGGTGGTGGACGGTGGTGGTGGTGAAGAGAAGTAGAAGAAAAAAAATGGAGAAGATCTTAGAAGATGTTAGAAGACATAGGTTAATGTTAGAAAATGGAGAAGATCTTATTGAAAAATATTTCTTTTTTTCCTTCTAATGCACTTAGGGAGTACTCCCTCCATCCCAAAATTTTCTTTCTTGTTACAATTCACACAGTCAAATTTTAATCATTTTCATTTACCTATTTTCATTAGTTATTTGATAAAATATTACAGTCATGTCACCTTTGTTTTGTATAACTTTTGATGTGTTTTTGAACATATAATTTTTATTTTTAAGTTTTGCACCTATACTCAAATGTATTGAATTGAAAAATAACTGAAACTAGAAGAAAGTTTTAGGACGGAAAGAGTAGCTTACAAGAAATTTAATTTGAGCAGAAACATTGAATCGCTTATTCCATTTCTAACCGCCAACATCACTATACATACATCATTGAATCACACAAGAGTACGGTCTGGGGAGGGTGTGTGTACGCGGACCCTACGCCTACTCCAAAGTAAATAGGCTGTTTCCAAAGAGACCCGCGGCTAAGCATCGAAAGTTGCATTGATGGACTAACAGGTACTTCATTAGTTAAAGAAGCGCAGACAATTTAGTGATTCATTTTGTTTTATTCCATCACACCCCAAGCCAAAAAGTAGTTAATTTTTGGCTTGATGATGGAAAGATAAACTTGATTTGGTCACTGTGCACAAATGATTATGTCCTTGTTCTAGTTATTCTTGCTAGCCCTCTCTAGTATTTCATTATTCAATTTTCTGTTAACACATTCAGATAGGATTCATGCATGTTTGTATACAAAGAATAGATTCACTAAATATATCCAAACAATTTGGATAAATACACCATACCACTTTCAGAATTCATGCTGCAACATTCAGTTATCTTTGACCATCAGTGATTGTTATCTGGTATTCATTCTCCCTGCTCATGAAATGTTGCCTAGATTATTTCCCCAACTTAGAAATAGTTGCTGCATCGCAGGTGGAAATGAAAGTCTGTTTTATATTAAAGGTTTATTGCTTATTCATCTTCATGTATGTTACATGTCTGTGTATTGTATGTAGGTTTGGTGCTATATAATCTTAGCAAACCTGTAATTAGTAGGGTTTCTTGGTTCCATTTATTATGGGTTTACTTTAGCAAAGCTCATTGGCTTCAAATTGTTTGAGGTAATGTCCATGAATCTCCCTCCTGATCCTATAGGTTTCCTTAAGTAAAATATTCTCAATGATATCAAAGTACATTCCGTCTTAATATTTTGGTTTTAAAAAGTGCACCACAGTGAGGCAAATGGAATGTTGCCTCAAGAATGTTTGGTGTACCTAATTCCAAAAGGCGCGTGCTTCATTGTACCTCAGTGCACTCCTGATCAGTTGCGGTGGTGCACGCCTTTAAGCACGCTCTTGCAAAAAAAATGTCGCTCCTTTTCACTTAAATTATGTTTGGTTTGAAGAATCTATATAATATACAGAGTATAAAAGAAGGTGAGATCAGGTCACTTTTTCCCGCCCAAATCCCTGGTACATCTCGACCGTTGATCAAATTTACTCTAGATCTATGGTTGTTATTGTGTTTCAGGAGATCCGTGTGAACATGAGTATTTGTTGGCCGAAGTTGATTAATGCGAAATTGAGTCCAGTGCTAGACCTTTTTAATCCTCCAGACTGGTGCACTTTAAATGACTTAAAAATTTAATTGTTAGTGGTGGGGGGGTTTACCGGGGGTAGAAACCGTAAATTTTACGAACGGGGCACCGGAGCACCCCCGAGTCATCCTATGACATTGATTCCTAATGTCATGGGAACAAAGGAGTTGTTAGTGTGATGTTGATGTGCTATCTTTTTGAAGCCAAATGTTTATCTGCCCAATGGAAGCCGAATGATTATCATCAATAACAGGGACACAAACTGCACCAAGAAAAGTTAGCAAAGCTGAGTTGGGAAATGTTGCAGGAATGGCTGCAACTGCAACGGGTAGTGGTGGGAAGTTTGATAAGAATTTCCCAGGAGAAAAGGCCCCCGAGCACGAAAAGAAGCATTGCAAGGTATTTCTATTTTAAAAATTTGAACTCATTATGTTTCCTTGAGCTGACGGTCTTCCTCTTGAAACAATATCTGAATCCATTTTAAGGTCTGCGTATACCCCCCCGCCCTCTCCATACTCCACTTGAGGGATCCGATTGGGGTGTTGTTGTATACCTATTATATATTCATTTTAGGTATGTTGCCAAGTTCTCTTGTATTTATTGAACTGACACATCCTCTGTTCTTCTTGCCTCTAGTTCTTACCGGTTGCAGAAGGATCAGGAATGGGCTCTCTCCAAAGACAGCAAACTGACAAAGTTCTGAACAAACTAATATCAAAGAACTCACATGAAATACTCAATGTCAAAAAGGTATACTGCCCTTTTTTCTTCATTCTCCCTCTCTCATCATGGCATTGTATCTCATGTTTGGTTCCCTTTCTTTTCCTTGGCTTTGTTTGTTTGTATGGGGGATATAGGCGGTGAACATGTACACTGCGAGACAGAAGAAGGGGGGAGGGAAAGCAAAGGATTGTTGTAAACTTATAAGCAAAGGATTCTTTTCCCCATCTTTTTATTCTGAATTCATTGGTAAAGATCCAATCTTTACTGATTTGAAGAGTAGAGCTGATTTCCCCATATTCTTCTCTAAATTCATTGACAAAGATCCAATCTTTACTGACTTGCAGAATAAAGCCAATTTCCATGGCTATATCTCCTCTATTCTTAATTATGTTTGCTCCATCTCCATTCCTGTACGACTTTTCAATTCTGATTTGATTAAATAAATACTGTTTGAATCAGACTCATTACTGAGAGTTTATGTTTGATTTGAATCGTATTTTTTGATCAGAATCGGATTAGACATCTCAAGCCAAGGTATGGTTGTTCATCTCTTTCCTGCCTTTTTCTCTTTAGTTTTTTGTTTTTGTTTTTTTTTCCGGTAGTTTGCGGCCGTGAGCATTCCGGTGGCAATACGGCATTTCAACCGAAAAGCCCAATTGGAGTGCTGGAGATTTACACCATCTGGGCCTATTAGCTCTCTCAAGGTACTCTGTTTTGCAGATTTTAGTCTCTCTATTTCACTTGGGCCTGTGTTCATATTGGGCTTAATTAATACTTGACCCACACGTTTTTTTGGGCCTTTTAATAGATTTTAAAGTTTTAATTCGCAAGTACCACTCGGCCTTCCAGGTTTGTTTATCACGGCTTTCACTTGGACCAGACGTAATTCACCGCACATTTCTTTGAGCCTCTTAATTTAAGCTTCTTTTCAGAAGAACAACTCGGCTCTTAAGTCTTAGGTTTTCACTATAAATAATATGCACTGTTTAAGAATTGAAGAATGGGTTTAGTCTGAGATCTGAACTCATCTTCAATTCTTAAACAGAATTGAAGAATGCGTTGATCGCCTGAACCCAATCTTCAATTCTTAAACAGTGCATAGTATTTATAGTGAAAACCTAAGACTTAAGAGCTGAGTTGTTCTTCTGAAAAGAAGCTTAAATTAAGAGGCCCAAAGAAATGTGTGGTGAATTACGCCTAGTCCAAGGGAAAGCCGTGATAAACAAACGTGGAAGGCCGAGTGGTACTTGTGAATTAAAACTTTAAAATCTATTAAAAGGCCCAAAAAAACGTGTGGGTCAAATATTAATTAAGCCCAATATGCACACAGGCCCAAGTGAAATAGAGACTAAAATTTGCAAAACAAAGTACCTTGAGAGAGCTAATAGGCACAAATGGTCTAAATCTCCAGCACTCCAATTGGGCTTCTCAGTTGAAATGCCGTATTGCCACCGGAATGCTCACGACCGCAGAAAAAAACTAAAGAGAAAAAGGCAGGAGAGAGATGAACAACCATACCTTGGCTTGAGATGTGTGATCCAATTCTGATCAAAAAATACGATTCAAATCAAGCATAAACTCTCAGTAATGAGTCTGATTCAAACAGTATTTTTTTATTCAAATTGGAATTGAAAAGTCCAACAGGAATGGAGATGGAGTGAACATAATTAAGAATAGAGGAGATATAGCCATGGAAATTGGCTCTACTATGCAAGTCAGTAAAGATTGGATCTTTGTCAATGAATTTCGAGAAGAATATGGGGAAATCAGCTCTACTCTTCAAATCAGTAAAGATTGGATCTTTACCATGGAATTCAGAATAAAAAGATGGGGAAACTAGGCCGACTCTTTTAATCAGCAAAGATTGAGTCTTTAACAAAGATTTCAAAATAATAGATGGGGAAATTGGCTCTGCTCAGCAAAGCTTGGATATTTATCAAGAAATTCAGAATAAAAGATGGAGAAATTGGATCTGCTCTTGATAGAATTTAGGATTGGATATGAACAACTGGATTGGGCAATAAGACACTTGGGTCGAACCACATTAAATGATTGAATCTAATCGATTAGTTAGTTCAACTCAAGAGCTTATATATTGATTTATTTTCACTACAAGTTCCGATGTGGGATAGATTCCAACACTCCCCCTCAAGTGGACAATCGGGCCATTTTGAATATAACCGGTTGACCACTTGCAAATGAACTCCCATTCCCTTGACTTTTTTTTATGAGCGCCAACACCTAAAGGACCACGAGCCGCTGGGTATGGACTTCCAGACGAGCAATCGTGTTAAACAGGCCACAGGTCGTTGGGTACAACCTCCATACAGACAACTGGGCTAAAGACAAACGGGTCGCTAGGAATGAACGTCTAGACGGACACTTTGACAAACGAGGTGGGATAAAACTGGCTCCGATACCATGATAGAATTTAGGATTGAGTATGAACAACTGGATTGGGCAATAAGACACTTGGGTCGAATCACATTAAAAGATTGAATCCAATCGATTAGTTAGTTCAACTCAAGAGCTTATATATCGATTGATTTTCACTACAAGTTCCGATGTGGGATAGACTGCAACAGCTCTTCAAATCAGAAGATTGGATCTTTATCAAGCAATTCGGAAGAAAAAAGATGTGGAAATTGGTCTGCCCTTCAAATCAGCAAATATTGGAACTTGGCTTGAGGGATTGAAAAGATGGGGTAAAAAATGGATCTTTAAAACAAGATAAATTGTGATGCGAAACACCAACTGATTTTCTCCGTTGATTTTGTTCTGTTTCTTTTTTATTTTTCCCACCCCACAACCTGATTATTTTCCTTTGATTCTCCCTCACTAGTCACCACCACTCTCCACAATCCTACTAAATACTCGGTGGAATAAAATATTAATTTTTGGTCCACAATTTTGATATTTTTTTTTCAAAATATCAATTTATTTGAGTGAAATTAAAAAATAAAAGTAACATGTTGAAGTATTATATCAAGTTTAATCAAACAAGATGTTCTATATTATCGAAAATAAATAAAGAAAAATACTTCTTTTGTGAAAACTGAATACAGTAAAACTTCATAGTTCATACCCTCTTTTTGTGAAAACTGAAAACAAAAATTTTGAGTACATCTGAATACGTGGTAACTTTATACTCACAATCAAACCATTTTTAAATACGACATTTAAAAAATATTTTCTCCATTTATAATTTATCTTCTCATTTTTTTATTTGTTCGTCTATAAATTGTTTTTTCTTTCCTTTTTTGGAAAATATTTTTTAAAATATTACTACTGTCATGTTTATCCATGAGTTACTATCCATGTCTACACTTTATTTTACTTTTTGAAAAAACCCAAAAATAAATTTAAAGAGTCAAAACAATTTTCTTTTTCTTAATTTGCGTTTAAATTTAAAGCAAAAAGATAATGTTTAAACAGAAGGAATAAGTCCCTTTTTGTGGTGTGGTGCGGTGGGGGGGGGGGGGGGGGNTTCTGGAAGTCAGCCGGGACTTTAGTTTTGAGTAGGGGTGTAAATGGATATTAATCAAACCGGATGTGTCATTACCAAATCTGCATCCGTTTATTTTTGTCGGATATTGAATTCGAATACGGATCTTGACGGATACTGAAAATCAAAACCGTATTCGCATTCGTCGAATATCGGTCGGATATCGGATATATCCATATCTGTTTCCAATTTTTAAAAACAAAATAAACAAAATTTTAATTTTAAATTAAATTAAAGTCAAACTATTATTAAATAAATTATAATTTGTTATGGGATAATTTTTTTCTTTGTTTTCATGATTTATGAAATTCTATGATAATTTCATATATATATATATATATATATATATATATATATATATATATATATATATATATTAAAAAGATATACAGAGCACACATATGCACATATTTTTGTGTCTGCACATATTTTTAAATGTCTACACATTTATTTTGTATATAAAAATGTCTTATACTTTGAATTATCAATAAAGAAACAAAATATAAACATAAAAAATTAGGAAAAATTATATATAACGGATCGGATATTCAGATAACCGGTTATTTAAATGGATGCATATTCAGGTTGGATTTTAAACGGATCAAATATACAATTACCAAATTCGTATACATTTAGTAATTGGATATCCTTAATCGGATATGGATAATATCCGTTTAAAACAGATGCGGATATTTCATCTTTAAACATATACGAATGCAGACAGTAATCGGATTTTCGGCTATCCGTTGGCAGCCCTAGTTTTGAGGGAGCATATTTTCTTTTTCAATCTTAAAATAAATTTCTAAATTTCTTTTTTTGCTTTGTTAAAAAAATAAAAGAATGGAATAATTATCTATCTTTAGAGATGGTTCCTTTCAAAATAATCTATCTTTTGCCAGCCCGAGTCAAAATTATATACGGGCGGATCTGGAAGTTACTTTTAGCCCGTTTGGACCAACAGGTCCGCCGATATCCATCAAACACATTTAGGCTTTATTCTGGATGCCTGATCTGATTTGATCTGATCTAATTGGGTCAGATCTGATCTAGTTGAATCTTTTCTGATCTGTTTGGATCTGATCCAATCTGATCCAGTCTGATCTGATCTGATTGAATCATATCTGATCTGATCTGATTGTATGGTATCTGATTTTGTCTAATTAGATCTGGTGTAAATGAATTTAAATTTGATTTATATTAAACTTAAAATTATTACAAAATATAATAGTTTTAAAGTATTACAATTCATATATACATAGAAAAAGTAAAATAAGAAAATCAGCCAATCATTCATATATTTAAACTTTTTTTTTGAAATATTATACATCTTTTCAATATCACTATTTTTTAATTTTTGTGAAAACTAAATAATTGGTATTAAAATAACCAAATATTAGAAGATATGGATATTCTAGAAAAATATCACATTCTATATGTATATTACATAAGAATATATTTCATGTTACAAATTAAAAATCATTTAATCTGATTGATCTGATTGGATCTGGTCTGATCTCATTGGATCTGATCTAATCTGATTGAACCTAATCTGATCTGATTGGATCGGGTCTGATCTGATTGGCTCTGATTTGATTTTAATAAAAATAAGTAATAAATAGAAAAAATAATTTCTACGGAACGGATCCACTTTATTATTAATTACCTAGGCCATGTAAATTCTAAAATTTTCCATAGTCATGCATAATGCACAATACACTCACCTCTCTTAAATAAAAATTAATAGTCTTTTAATGAATCAGTATGATGGATTTATAAATTGTCCAACAATACCTCTATTATGTTTTCTATGTAAGTGTGCTGACTAATGATTTTATTTGAAACATTGAAAAAGGAGTTGAATATCTTTTTCTTTTGAATTTTTTGTGAAAAAAAATATTTTCTTGATATTTTATTCGGGCCGGACGGTCCGATGGACTATTTGACCAGCTAAAGTGGGCAGGTATGAATAAAGTGTTTAACCCATCATATTATGGTCGGGCCAAGCCCGACAGGTCTATAAAAGAGTAATTAACACGGAAGGTGAACGGAATAATTATAAAAATGGAGACATTAGTTTCAATCGCCCCAGTTGATAATGTGATCGGTCTTCAGTCCCCTCCCATCTGTATGTATTCTAATTTCCTTTGCGTCTTACTCAATTTTCTGACTTTGTCAAAGTAATCATAATTAAGCTCCTAAGATTATGAAGTGATAAAATGGTCATTTAATTTCATGAACTTTTTTTTGTTTCTCTAAATATTTTGAGCGCAAGGATTATGTGGCACCTCGAAGGTCCCCTATAATTAATTTCCAAACAAAATTAAAATATAAGTGATCGTGAAATTTTATACTCCCTCCGTCCTATAATTAATTTCCCGCTTTGACCGGGAGTAATTTTTAAGGAAGTGTAAAAATTACTTTGACCATCCGAACCCAAACCTTCACTCGCAAATGGGAATTCTGAAAAATTCTCCAAATCAAACAAATCCCATTTGGAAATTGAATTGGTTCTTCAGTTCTCCATATCTACGTTATCTCCAAAATCAGTTCACCCAAATAAAACCACAAAGAATCGCATGTCTCATGAAGCAAATAAAAAGAACAGAGATCTTGCAGATTGAATTTATTCTTCTACTTTTAGATCTAAAAGGGAGGAGCCTTCAATAACCCATAGAGACGGCGATAGAACTCGATAATTTTGTGCAAGTGTAAACATTAAAGTGTCGGAACAATTTCTCAGTGTACAATTTAAAATTTTCCTTTTTTCTTAGTTGTTGGAGTGATCTTATTTTTTTTAAGTACATAATTGAAATCATAATAATGATATGTAGTACTCCACTACTCCGTAGTATGGTAAGATACTAAGATGGTATCCTCTTATAAATTTAAGATGGGGTATGGACAATTGGATTGGGCAATAAGACACTTGAATTGAACCACATTAAAAGATTAAATCCAATCGATTACTTAGTTTAACTCTAGAGCTTATATACCGATTATTTTACTCTTCGATTTCCGATGTGGGATATACTATAACACTCCTCATCAAGTGGACAACCGGGCCATTTTGAATCTAACCGGTTGATCACTTGCAAATGAACTCCCATTCCCTTGACTTTCTTTTTTTTGAGCGCCAACACCTAAAGGACCACGAGCCGCTGGGTATGGACTTCCAAACGAGCAATTGTGTTAAACGGGCCACAGACCATTGGGTACAACCTCCATACGGACAACTGGGCTAAAGACTAACGGGCCGCTAGGAATGAACGTTTAGACGGACACCTTGACAAATGAGGTGGGCTAAAACTGGCTTTGATACCATGATAAATTTAGGATGGGGTATGGACAATTGGATTGGGCAATAAGACACTTGAGTTGAACCACATTAAAAAAATGAATCCAATCGATTACTTAGTTCAACTCTAGAGCTTATATACCGATTATTTTACTCTTGGATTTTCGATGTGGGATGTACTCTAAGATTCTCAGTAATCCTTATTCATGAATGGTCTCGTTTTGATTTTCAATGCAGACCAAAAGGAATTATGCCTTGATCAGTGGTGGATCTACTTAATACTAGTTGGGGGCTAATGCCCCCAACTAAATTTATTTTTTAAGTTAAAATTATTTTTTAAAAAAATGTTATGTATATGTGCCCCCAACAAAAATTAATAGACCCCATCTGATTAAGTTAGTTTTAAAGTTTTTATTTAATTTTTTTAGTAAATTTTTTTTATTACATACTTCCTCTGTTTCTTAAAACAGTTTCTCTTTCATTTTTTTCCCTAAAACACTTACATTTTTGTAAAAAATGACTAATATATGTAAATTAAGTGGTTGCAAATTTGCAATATACTCAATTCAATTTGGATTGATATAATAAGTCATTTAAATGATTTGTCTCTCTTTTTTCTTCAATGATAAAGATATAATTAGAAGGTCAAATTACGAAAATAAATCCTTCCCAAATCAAAAAAGGAATGTTCGAAAAATTTTTTATTACTCAGGTATTTTTTTTGTCAATTCATATTGTCGATTAAAAAATCCAAGGGCCCTGTCCCCGGACCCCGACTAGACCCTGACTAATGGTGCCCCCATCTAGCTAAAATCCTGAATCCACCACTAGTCTTGATGCCTTATGATGAGATAAATAATGTGTTTGTAACACCATTCTTGTCTTAACCAACACTATTTTGTACTCATTCTCTTCCCAAAAAAACTTTGATTTCCTTTTTAAGACGTTTTAAAAAAGTTACCTATTTCGTTTATGTAAAATTTTAATTTAAATAGCTCACAATCTTTTCTCTCTCTTCTATATCACTTTCAATTATATATTTTTATTTTCCTTAAATTTTATGACAAGTTAAAATAGAAGTTTTTTTTTTAAAGAATGGAGTATTAAAAAAATAACAATGAAGAAAATATGCATTATTTATTGACTGATAAATAATTATAGGTAAGATGGAGGAGGTAAGAAGGATAAGTTAAAAGTACTTGTCATATTGAATTATTTCTAGGCTTCTACCAAAAGGGATTCTTTAATAATTACTCCCATAAATGTGGAAAAAGGAATAAATATAGATATAATATTCAAATGAGTCACATAATTAATTAGTAAAATTTGCACTAAATAGGACCAAAACATAATACTTTCCTACTCAATTAATTAACCAATGCTCGATGCCTTGATACATACGGAGTACGTAGCTAGTAGTGATACGTATAAGTAGTAATTAAGGCGCGACCGACCTTATATTATTATTGATTGCCATTTTCCATTTCTTCCACTCCCATTTATTTTGATCTTCATGATGTTCATAAAATCCATAGACCGCTTTTTCTGTTTCTCCCCTGCCTCCACCGCTGCCGCCCAACCCGGCCGCCGCCGCGTGGAACGACTCGGCGGCGGCCACACGCCCAGGAGCAGAAACAGCACCTCGCAGTCTTCGTCTCCTTGGGTTAACCCCGTCGTAGAGTCTCGCCGGAAAAGCTCCTCCGACGTCCCCGATAACCTCCGGAGGAGCGGTACATCTGCCGCCGCCGCCGCCACTCCGCCTGGTTCCCCCTTCATTGATCACTTGCTGGCAATTAATTCCAAGAATGTCAAAGCAGCCTTGTTCAAGAAGAGGCAGAGCTCCAACGAGCCTTCCGGCGTTCTACGCCGGCCGTGGCCGGCGTCGAAATTCCCGACGGCGACACCCAAGAACTCGAATAAGGCTGACAGCTTGTCGTCAACTCCCATCCCCCGCCGTAACCATCAGGTCAATCACTTACTTTATTTTTCCCATTTAGTTTAGTTTTTTTTTTAATTCGTAATTTTTTTTGGAATTTTCCCAACATTTTTTTTGTTAGTCAAACAACCAATACCGAAAGTATATATTTACAAGTTCAAACGACCAAGTCTTCATGGTCTAAAAGCACATTTTTAGTTGGAATGAAGTTTTATACTCGTAAGAAACTTAACAATAATTTTCAACTAAAATGTACAGAGTTTAATTTTAATTTATTGATCGCGTGATTGCTATAACAATACGAGTAAACAGTTGTAGCTTTGTCCAAAAAAACATTTGTTGTAGCACTAAATTAAAAAAACAAAAAACATTTGTGTATATATGGGTGTGGGTAATTAAGAAAATAAAATATAATTATAGTATAAAGGTTGAGCTTAATTAATTAATTAGTTATGCATGGATGTATGTGTAGGTTGTGGAGTTGAGGGTGTCAATTCATTGCAAGGGTTGTGAACGAAAAGTGAAGAAACATCTCTCCAAAATGGAAGGCAAGTTCTATATATACCTCATCTCCTCCCTATATGAATTGTTTTCTCTTCATTTCTATCCGTTATAAAAAAAAACAATGTACAATTAGTCAAGAACAAAAGAACAATCTAAGTGATTATCCACAATTATCTCTCATCTAAAAAAAATCAAAATATTGTTCACATTCTTTTTGTTTTTCAACATTTTTTAAAAATATCAATCCATAATACTCGGGTAGCTAATTTTGACATTGTTGTGTAGTCAATATCATACTATCACACTGAGCCCATTTGAAGCCCAATTAGGTTTTTTGTTAGATCTTGAAATATTCATTACTCCCTTAGACCCGCCAAATGCTCAACTCTAATCCATTCTTAACGCCTAAATGGATTCAGGCCAATATCATAATATGACATTAAACTCTAATGTAAAAATAGCTGTGGTATCATAAATAATGAACTACCATGCCATTTTTTATTTTTCAATATATACTTTGGTATTTTAAATTTTATGACATCTAGATTCTTTTTAAATATAGTGAACATTATTCAACTCATAAATGTTCATTGTATGAGTTTGTAATTTTTTTTCTTAACTTAATTTTCAAGACTTTACTTTTATTATATCATGAATGAGAAGTGTTGTTATTAGCAACAAAAAAGTTCTGTTAACAAAGAAAAGGTATTGTGCATTTCTTATTAATTAAGCATAAATCAATTTAGTATTGTACTCCGTACGTTTATGCAGCTTTATAAGTAAATGCAAACAAATAAATGTGCAAAATTATACTTCTTTCAGCCCCAAAAATGCATCCCATTTTATGGGAAGGAGAAAATATGATTTACTCGTGATGTGTAATTGTGTAGAGTATTAATCATGTTTAAAGTGTGTCTCATTATTTACCATTGTTAATAAAAAAAAATATAAAGATCGCATGTAGCTAATCTTTAAGCGCCGATATGTATGTTTATTTATGAACGTGCTTGCCACTGCACTTAGGTTATAGGCCGAGTCACCCTAGCTCATATGATTAGAGTGTCCCACAATTGAAATAAAAAGTCTCAACTAAGATATGGATAATCTCTAATTAATTTGTCGCTTACCAAGAGAGCCTACCACTTTTTACAATATTACGGAGCATTAAACATCATAACGAATGATTATGGGTGAAAACGTGAAATGGTTAGTGAACCATCGTTTAGTGTTTTAAAACCGCATATGAATGCTAATATAATGCACACGCACAATCATGCATTAGTGGTTCTAGTGTACGTTCTAAACGAATATGCAGTTTCTTATACATCGACTATTATTCGTACCACAATTATCAAAACACTTTCTCTTTGACTTTTTTCTCTTCCATCAAAATACTTTCATTTTGTATTAAAAAACCATTTTTGCTCCTATTTTTATCACATCATATTGTTTCTCTGATAATATTTTTATCACAACTTACTTTTATTATACCCATTACATCAAAAGCAAAACTTGTAATCAATAACAATTTAACACTTCCTTAATTTGGCATATGGTCAAAATGGGAGAAGTTTTCCCAAATGGAGGAGGTATAATACTCCCTCCGTTCCTTTAAACCCTTCCACTTTTGACTTTGGGCAAAAATAAGAAAAGTGTAATTTTGGTTGACTTTCCAATTTTGCCCCTGATGTGATGGGTAAAAGTAATACTCCGTATGTGATAGTTTGGTTATTAGAGAAAAAGTATGATGTGATAGGTATGGTATGAAAAAGTAAGGGTAAAAGTGGTTTTTTTAAAAGAAAGTGGAAGTGTTTTAGTGAATACAAAAGAAATGAAAGGGGAAGAATTTTGTGGAACGGAGAGAGTATAATATTAGCTATAATAGCACGTACTTGAGAACACCTACACTACAACAGTGTGTACTTAGAGTTAGGTACGCTCGACAAATATTTATTTTGAATCAACATAGTATCCATTCTGAAGTAAAGTAGCATTTATTTTCACACATTTAATTTGTTCGTTTCAATTGTAATATTCATTCTAAAACAACGTAATGTTAATTGCACTTAAGACTGCTCGGCATAATGTTTTTTCGAAACAACGTAGCGTCATTTCTCAAAAAAATGTACGGAGTAATATTCATTCTGAAATAATGTAGTGTTTATTTTAAGTCTACTCGGTGTTCATAACACCCGGCCCCCAAATTCACACCACCGCCTCCACTAACTCCATCTTCTATCTCACATGCATGTTCCAATTTGTATAATCATCGGACACTTACATACTCGCCGCCGCCATCCACCTCAGATCTCGCTGCTGCCGTCCACCTCAGGAAGTCGCCGATTCTCCTCTTCCTCAGCTTCAACCGGCTATTCAATCACCGATTCTCCTCCTCCGCAGAAAATAAGACCAACAATACGATTCTTCACATAGAGCGGCCGGTTGCATGGTAGAATTTGCACGCACACTCCACATGCATTTTCATTTTTTGAGTCAATAGTTGATCGATCGAGTTACCAAGATTTAAATTTCAATTATTTAGATTTTCTTTTAATAGAAATTACTACAACTATATCTAGACAATAGAAAAATTAAAATTATTCCGCCTTTGAGAAAAATGACGTATTACATAATTAAAGTAGAATAAGATATTATTAAAAACAATTTGAATAATCATCGAAATAATCAATCATTATCCAATACTTGTTGCTAATGACCACATTTGTAGAGTCATTCGTATAATCAATCATTATCCAATGCTTGTTGCTAATGAGAGCATATATGACAGATCATATGAAATTATGTGTCATAAAAGAAATAAAACATGAGAAGTTGTAGAAACTAATTTACGTGAAACTGGTCTTGCCATTACTTACCAGAGATATATATACATGATACAGGATTTAGTCACAGGCCCATAATACATCGGCCCAATACATAATAAACAAGCATATACAAATATACTAGGCTAATACTCCCCCTCAAGTTGGAGCATGAATATCATGAATGCCCAACTTGGATAATAAGCAATGAAAAAGAGGACCGGAGAGAGCCTTTGTGAAGATATCCGCCGTTTGAAAACGCGTAGGAACATACACAGTAACTATATGATTGCGCTGGAGACATTCCCGGACAATGTGACAATCAATGTCGATGTGTTTTGAGCGCTCATGAAAAACGGGATTGGCGGCAATGAATAAAGCAGACTTGTTATCACAATATAAGCGAGGAGTCGCGACACAAGGAACATCTAATGCCGCCAATAATCCACGTAACCATCGAATTTCAGCACATGCATTTGCCATAGCTCGATACTCAGCCTCGGTAGAAGAGCGGGAGATTGTGGTTTGCTTCTTAGTACGCCATGAAACCGGAGAGCCTCCCAACAAAATAAAATAACCAGTGACAGACCGACGAGTGAGGGGACAGCTGGCCCAATCTGAATAAAAAATGGCAGTACGGGCAAGATTACTATCACTGCGCAACAAAATACCCTGACCAGGGTGCCCTTTTAGATATCGAAGGACACGAAGAGCAGCATTCCAATGATCCAGACGTGGAGCCTGCATAAACTGAGACAACGTATGAACAGCATAACAAATATCAGGACGAGTAATAGTGAGATAGAGCAGGCGGCCCACAAGTCGACGGTATTTAAGGGGATCCCGAATCTCAGCACTAGTGGATCGAGCCAAATGATGATTGACCGGTAGTGGAGTATCCACGGGCTTGCATCCAAGGAGATTGGCCTCATCAATAATATCTAGAGCATACTTGCGCTGATTCAGAACCATACCATTAGTAGAACGAGCACACTCAATTCCTGCCACCAAAATATCATCAACGTAATCAAGAACAACTACCATATCGGGACCACGATGGAGAACAAAGAGAGTATGATCGGCATGGGCTTGACGAAACCCATACTGACGTAGAGCCACACGAAGCTTAGTGAACCAATTACGAGGTGACTGGCGAAGGCCGTATAAGGACTTACGAAGGCGACAAACTTTTCCCGGAAAGAGCTGAGTATAACCAGGAGGGATTTTCATATAGATCTCGTCCCGCAAGTCACCATGGAGAAAGGCATTATTGATGTCCAACTGATCAACTTGCCAACCTCGAGCCACTGCAACAGACAACAAAACACGTACAATTGCCAATTTGGCAACTGGTGCAAAAGTATCAGTATAATCAACCCCCAGTTCCTGATGATTACCTAGGACAACAAGACGTGATTTATCACGCTCCTTAGTACCATCAGAATGATACTTGGTCCGGTATACCCACTGACAACCAAGGGCTCGGCGATTAGGAGGAAGATCAACAACATCCCATGTATGATTACGCTCCAGGGCCAAATACTCAGTAGCCATAGCCTCACGCCAAGAGGTAAACTGAACAGCTTCTCGGAAATTACGGGGAACGGGTGTAGCATCAATAGCTCCAAGAAAAACCTTATACCTGTCATGCAACTTAGAATAATGAACAAAGTTAGTATTAGGAAACCGAGTACCAGACTGTGAAGGACAAGAGGGGACCGGAGCCGGGGTGTCAATCTTTGCGGAATTGAGAATATAGTCGTTGAGGTGGGACGGACGACGACGTGTGCGAGGCAGAAGGGATGGAAGTATGGGCGATGGAGAAGTGGTCTCCACCGAGGAGGACGCTGGGCTGTCGTCGTCATCAGAAGAACCGGATGGGGTGGCAGTTTCCGAGGGGGACTGGGACGGTGTCGGAGACTGCCGAACAGGTTGTTGTGCAGCCGGAGTGACAGAGACGACGGGAGACGGGGTGGGCTGCTGGGTCAGAGGTACGGCAGGGGTGGGGGAGACGGTAGGAACAGGGAAATCAACCGGGGAAGGTGTAAGAATAGGTTGAGGACCGGACGAGGGAGTAGGGACGGCGAACGGAAAGACGGTTTCGTCAAACAAAATATCCCTCGTGTGAAAAAACGATGTGTGTCAAGACTATAGACCCTCCACCCTTTGGTACCATACGGGTAGCCCAGAAACACACACTTTATACTTCGGGGATGGAATTTATTTTTGGGTTTGGGAATAGGATGGACAAAGCAAAGGCACCCGAAAACCCGGAGATGGCTTAAATCTTGAGGTTTGGAGGAAAGGATTTCAAGACGTGATTTACCCCCGAGAATTTTGGTGGGAGTACGATTGATTAAATACACAGCAGTTTTGACACATTCCCCCCAAAATTCAAGTGGAAGAGACGCTTGAAACATTAGGGAACGGGCCACATTTAGTATATGACGATGCTTACGTTCTACCCGCCCATTTTGTTGTGGGGTACCAACACAAGACGTTTGAATACAGACACCCAAGCTCTCATAATATTGTCGTAAAGAAGAATTAAGAAACTCAGTACCATTGTCAGAACGAACAATTTTAATTATTTTGGAGTATTGGGTGTGAATCATTGTGAAAAAACGCCGTAAGCACGAAGTGACCTCACTTTTTGATTTAATCAGATAAACCCAGACAGCCCGAGAAAAATCATCAACAATTGTCAGAAAATAATGTGCCCTAGAGGAAATACACGGTGAGTAAGGACCCCACAGATCACAATGAATTAAATCAAAGATAGCATCAGCTTTATTATTACTAACACGAAACGAAGAATGAGTTTGTTTGGACAAAAAACAAATTTCATAAGCCTGTAATTTTTGGACAACAGACTTTGTTTCATTAGTACCAAGAAAGGGGAGAACATCCATGGAGGGGTGGCCCAACCGTTGATGAAGAACAAAGGGATCGATATTGGCTACGAGAGCTGACACGGGAACTGATGCAAAGACATACACGCCGTTTCGCAAATCACCCTGTCCAATCACCATCTGCGACGAACGGTCCTGTATTACACAACGATGATCATTAAAAGTTACACAACAAGTATTATCATGAATTAAGCAACCAACAGAAATCAAGTGACAATGTAGATTTGGAACGTATAACACATTCCGCAATACCAAACGAGATGACAGAGCCACACTTCCCTGTTTGAAGGCCTGAACACGAGACCCATCAGGGAGGCATATAGAGTGAGGAGAAACATCCTCAACATTAAATAAATGGGCAAGAGAACCTGTCATGTGGTGTGAGGCTCCACTATCAATTATCAGTCGGAAGAAGAATTACCAGTGTAAGCATGAGATGCCGATGCCTCGAGCATGGACATTAAGCGGGACATTTGATCACTGAGGTTGCCACTGGAATCCGACACGGACGCATGAACCGCGGCTGAGCTGTTGCTACTGCCTCCCTGGGCAGATTGCCCACTGACGGCAGTGTTGCTGCTGCCGTGCCGAAGACCACCACGACCACCCGACGAAGAACCACCACGGCTGCCACGGCCACGCCCCCCACCACGGGCAAATTGAGAAGGAAAACCAATGAGCTCAAAACATGTGTCAATGCTATGATTGGGGCGACCACAATGTGAACAGGACGGTTTATTCGGTATGGGGAGACGTTTGTCATGTTTCGCGGTGAAAGCCACGGAATCCGTACGATCATCACGAGTACGAATGATGTGGCGATGTCGCTCCTCTTGAGTAACCAAAAAATATGCACGGTCATGATCGGGCACTGGTTCGGAACCAATGATTTGAGAACGTATGTTCCCAAATTGTTCATCATCCAAGCCGAGCAAAAAATCCATTGTTTTATCACGTTCAATACGTTCACGCGTGGCTCCGGCGGCCTCACACCGGTAGCCCCCGGTGAGGTCAGAAGATCCATACAGTTGGTTCCACAGAGTGATAAATTGGTTGTAATAGGAAATGACACTTTGACCCTTCTGACGTAAAGCATTTAACTCAGACTTCAACTGATACGCACGAGGCCCATTAGAACAACTATAGCGTTTCCTCAAATCAGCCCACAACTCATAAGCAATAGAATGAGAAACAATACTCGGTTGGATAGATTCATCAACACTGTTAAAAATCCAACTACAAATAATTTGATGATTAGCGCTCCAAGCGGACAACTCGTGTTCGTCGGTAGGTTTGGCAACCCCTACACACGACAAAAAGATAGATTTGCCACGACCACCCAAAGCATTACGAATTGCCTTCTCCCAAATATCAAAATTATCACTTTTAAGTAGGTATTTTGTCAAAGAGTTACCCGGACCTTCGGAGGGATGAAGGTAATAGATAGACGACGGATCATGAATCAACCTTGTCTTTTTAGGGTTTGCTTCACCGGACATGATGGTGGATGGCAAGGAGGGCGCTGTGGACGAACGATCAAGGCAACAAACAAAACTGGAATACCAACTGCCGAAGAACCCTAGGACGAATGAGCAGTACAGCGGAAGACTGGAAATACTAGAACACCAACGACGACGCACCAGCGACATGAGCGCACGGGGTTTGACGATCAACCCTAGGATCGCTCTGATACCATGTAGAAACTAATTTACGTGAAACTGGTCTTGCCATTACTTACCAAAGATATATATACATGATACATGATTTAGTCACAGGCCCATAATACATCGGCCCAATACATAATAAACAAGCATATACAAATATACTAGGCTAATAGAAGTGCTAGGGGAACACCAATTGGGGTGCACTACATGTACATCAAGTCTAAAATAGGCACACACAAACATCTAATGTATGTACATGCACAGACATTAATTTTCTCTGTGTGCCTATTTTTGGCTTGGTGTACATGTGGTGTACCCAAGTGGTATTCACCAAGCATTTGTCATAAAACATATTTGGTACTATTTAGAGAAACGTACAGTTCTCAAAATACTTCTTCATCTACGAAGTATTTAAAAACGTATACGTAATAATCAGTTAATACGAGTATTATTTTATAAAAAAACGTACAGGAGTGACGTGGTACAGTGTAGATGCATGCACACAGAAAGTGACGGTGGTGGGAGAGGTGAGTCCGTTGGGAGTGCTGGTCAGCATTTCCAAGGTGATGAAGAACGCACAGTTCTGGTAGTCCAGCTGCTACCTAGCTAGCATACTCCGATCCATATACTGTACTTTTTATTTGGTTTTTACTTCTTCATCTTTCGAACTTATTATAATCATAAATGTATAATAATGATAGTATGTATATCAATATGCTGAGGATCGGAATTCTTAACATTGGTTTTTACTTCTTCATTCTTATGATACGATATCGTATTGGGTCTAGGAGAAAGATTGATGAATTGGGGGGAAAAGATGAAGAATTTGGGAGAAGAAGAGAGAAAATGAAGAAGATGAAGAAGAAAACAAGATTTGAGATGAGGATAGAACTATGATTTGAGAGATGTAATTTATTACTCCCTCCGTCCGAGAAAACATGGGAGTTTTGATTTTGAAGAAGGATTTAAGGGAAGTGTATTTTGGTATTGAATTTCCAAAAATTTCTTTTGATGTGATGTGTAAAAGTATGATTTGATGGATAGATTATTAGTAAAAAGGTATTATGTGATAGATAGGGTATGAAAAAGTAAGGGGTAAAAGTGACTTTTTAATAGAAATGAAAAGTGTTTTTTGGGACGGATGAAAAAAGAAAGGAGAAAGGTTTTCAGGGACGGAGGGAGTATTAATTCTTGATAACCCTAATAACTAAATTCGGAGTACATGGATATTTATAGATTAAAAAAATAACGAACTCTAACCATGGTTGAATCCTAGACTTAATAAAATTTTAATCGTGTCGGTTGAATAATACTCCCTACGTCCTAAATTATTTGCAACATTTGCTTTTTCAGTAGTCGGGGAACTTTTGTTTATTTCTACGTTTTCATTGGTTATTTGATAAAATAAAATATTTTCACACTTCTTAGTTTGAAAAACTTTTCATGTAGTTTTTTAATATGTAAATTATATTTTTTATTTATATACCAATATGTAAATAAAATTATTTGAAAAAACTTGATATTTTATGTCGGGAATACAAGTGTGACAAATATTTAGGAACGGAGGGAGTAACATCAAAGTAAAAAATTGAAAAGAAACTCTTAACGAGTGTTATAAATGCACTCAATAATAAAAAATAAATACCCCTTCGTCTAGTATTAATCTTTCCATTTTTTGATGAGTTGACTAAGGAAGTAAATTGCCAGAAATGCCCCCGCTGCCAAAGTCCCAACTGTGCGAGCACTCACCGCCGCCAGTCCCAAAACCACCAGTGACTGACAGCCCCACCACCGCCCTCATCACATTTGTCAGCCCCACCACCGTCCCCATCAGCGTCGTCATCCCCATGATTACCATCAGCAGCGCTACCATATCTTCCCCTCACCACCCCTACCTTCCCCTGTCACCGCCAGCGCCCACCATCAACACCACCGTGCCGGCTCCATCGTCACAACCATTCGCCATCGTCACACGTGGGAGAAAGATAAAAGGGAGGAGAAGAACGGAGGAAGAGAAGATAAAACTATAGATCTGCCACATCTAGGAGGAGATGGATAAGAAAGGAGAAAGGGGAAGAAAGAGGAAGAGGAGGGAGAGTCAATCTGTGAGATCGAGAGAGAGAAGAGGGGAGGGGTAGAGAAAGAAGATTCTAAGAAGAAGAGAGAAGAGAAAAGAGAGTGAGATTTGAACGGAGGGGTATTTTTTGAACATTTGGCCTTGGGGAATGATGCGGTAGAGGATTTAAACAGGGAGGTCTCGCGAATTGGCCTTGGGGAGGAGGACATTGAGATCTCATTTGAAGAAATTGATGCAGGCCCAAGAGTGGATCTTCCGCCTACATGGATTATTGCCGGGTGTTTCCCCACTTCCCGTCCTATCAAGTTTGACGCAATGAAGCAGGTCTTGGCCATGGCTTGGAAACCAGCTCTGGGGGTTTATGTGACACAGGATGAAGAAGGTTTGTATCTGTTCCATTTTTATCACGTTAAGGATGCTATGCGGATTATTGATGAGGGGCCATGGTCATTTGATAATCCGACTCTAGTTTGTAAACTCCTCTCTCTTGGTGAGATGGTCAAAGCTCATGATTTACATTTCGTTGAGATGTGGGTTCAGATTCATAATCTTCCCTTTGGGTATACCACACCGATTGTTTTGGAAACGGTGGGAAAGGCAGTTGGTTCGTTTATCAAACATGATTCGATCGCCGCTGCGCAATATCATCGTTCTTATCACAGGGTCAGGATCTCTGTTGATGTCCGAAATCCTCTGCGTCGACGCCTGAAGCTGACTAAACGGGATGGTATAATAGTTTGGATCCACTTTAAGTACGAGAGACTCAACACATTTTGCTTTTTCTGTGGCATTATGGGCCATTTAGCCAAGCATTGCAGAGCTGCTGTACTATCCAATGTGGAGCCTGAAAATTATCCCTTTGATGGCTCCCTACGGGCGGAGGGGAGGAAAAAAGAGATAAATGTGGGGAGCCAATGGCTGCGAGATGAGCCTACTGGTAGGGCTGTTGAGCCTCCAAACATAAGAGTGCCAACTTACATGGATGCTCAAGTAGATGACCCTATCGAAGCTGGTGCCTTAATAAAACGGAAAAGGGGTGCTGATTATGATAGGATGCAGTTCCTCAACAAGAATCATAGTGTGGCAGATGGATCAAAAAACGTGATGGAGGCGGGTGCTGGTTCCTAGGCCCGCCGCGGTCAATGAGTACTATCAGCTGGAACTGCCGCGGGTTGGGCAACCAGCGGACAGTTCAGGAGATAGCGGACTTGGTTTCCGCAAAAAAGCCCAATTTTGTTTTCTTAATGGAGACAAAAGGTGCTGGCAATCTCGCTGAAAACCTTCTTGTCAAGATTGGTTTTGATGGTGTTTTTTCCGCGTGTAGTGTTGGACGCAGCGGTGGCTTGGCTTTGCTTTGGAAGGAAAATGGTACGGCTAGTCTTCTTAGCTATTCTCGGTCGCACATTGATATTTTGGTCTCCCTTCCTAACACTAGACTTGGAGACTCACTGGTTTTTATGGGGACCCTCATAGAGACCACCGTCGGGAATCTTGGAACTTACTTCTTTTGCTTAAGGATAAATCTCCTCTCCCTTGGTTTGTCATTGGTGACTTTAATGATATTTGCAAATCTTCAGAGAAACGAGGTGGTGCCCCTCACCCACCTGCCTTGATTGCTGCGTTCACTTCGACGTTGGAAGCTTGTGATCTTTTTGATTTGGGTATGATGGGCTACTCGTTAACTTGGGACAGATGTCGTGGGAAGCCGACGTGGGTGGAGGAAAGGCTGGATCGTGCCGTGGCCACAGTGGAGTGGAGAAACCTTTTTTCAGAAGCCTATGTTAGTAACCAAGCTATGCGATGGTCGGACCATAGTGCTCTCTTTTTGAGCATTAGTGGACCACAGGTTCGATGCGCTCCTCGCAGTTTCCGTTTCGAGAATGCTTGGCTTTTGGACGATGGGTACAAGGGGGTGATCACGGCGCCTTGGAACTCCTCGGGCCACCTACCCTTTCCAGAGAGGCTTAAGGTGTGTGGCTCTCAGTTGGTTAGATGGGGCGGTGATAAGTTTAACAAGTTTGGGAGACGCATTTTGGAGGCCCGTAGGCGGGTAGACAAATGGAGGGGTAGCCGAGATCCCATTGGTCTAAAAAATTTTTATGATGCTGATGCTGATTTGGCCAGGTTGCTCGACCAGGAAGATGTGTATTGGAGGCAACGGGCGAAGCAACACTAGCTACGTACGGCGGACGCTAATACACGTTTTTTTCACCAATATGCTTCACACCGAAAGAAGAAAAACAGGATTATGAGGCTTAAGGATGAGCATGGACAGTGGAAAGAAGGTGATCAGCTTCTGCCAGTGGTCTCTCACTATTTTAAAAACATTTTCCAAACTGCAGGTATTGGTCCCTCTACTGCTTTTGATGGTTTTCGGACGAGGGTTTCCCGAGCCCAGAATGACTCCCTTGTTCAGCCTTTCACCGATGAGGAAGTGCGTGCTGCTCTTTTTGCCATGCACCCGGATAAGTCTCCTGGTCCAGATGGTATGAACCCAGCTTTCTTTCAAAAATTATGGAACCTTGTAGGCCCGGATGTTTGCAAGTTTGTCTTATCTTGTCTCAATGGTAAATTCCTCCTGGGTAATATAAATGATGCCAATATTGTTCTTATTCCTAAGAAGCAGTCTCCAGAATCTATGTCTGACTTGCGTCTCATTGCCCTCTGTAATGTCATTTACAAGATTGTTGCAAAAGTTTTGGCTAATAGGCTGAAAACAGTACTTCAGGATATCATCTCTGACTCCCAGTCTGCCTTTCTTCCTGGGAGACTAATTTCGGACAACATTCTCTTGGCAGCTGAATTGGGCCACTTCCTTCGACGAAAACGAGGAGGAGCTACAGGATGGGTTGGTCTCAAACTTGATATGGCCAAAGCTTATGACAGAATGGAATGGAGCTTCTTAAAACTTATGATGGTCAAACTGGGGTTCGATAATCAATGGATCGAACTCATCATGATGTGTGTCACTACTGTCAGATATAGAGTGCAGGTCAATGGTGACTTTACAGACTTCATTATTCCCTCTAGGGTCTTCGACAGGGGGATCCATTAAGCCCCTATCTCTTTATTTTATGTGCTGAAGGGCTATCCTTTCTCTTACAGGAGGCGGAACAGAGGGGAACAATGCATGGTATTCGAGTGTCATGTGGTGCCCCTCCCATCAATCACCTTCTTTTTGCCGATGATAGCCTAATTCTTTTCAAAGCCACAATGGAGGAAGCAGGGGAGGTGCTTCGGATACTCTCTGAGTATGAACGTCTCTCTGGCCAGGTTGTTAATTTTCATAAATCCAGTATTTGTTTCAGCAAGAATGCTCATTTTCAAGCCCGCAACTGGCTCACAAGTTTTTTTGGGGTGGTTGAAGCGGAGGACTTTGGGAAGTATCTTGGCTTGCCTTCTTTCATTGGGCGCAATAAAACAGCTGTTTTTTCATTTATTTTGGATAAGATCCATCAAAGACTTTCACTATGGAAGAGGAAGACGCTTTCTAAGGCAGGTAAGGAGGTTTTACTCAAGACGATTGCACAGTCGATGCCCCAGTTTGCCATGAGTGTTTTCCTTCTCCCCCAATCTAATTGCACTGATATTGAGAGGTTAATGAATGGCTTTTGGTGGGACGGTAAGGGAACTAACAATCGTGGCATTCGTTGGATGTCGTGGGAACGAATGACTATCCCAAAGAAGTTTGGGGGATTGGGCTTTTGGAATATTCGAATGTTCAATGTTGCTATGTTGGGTAAACAAGGCTGGCGCTTTCTGACCAAACCCAGCTCGCTAGTGGCGAGAGTTTTCAAGGCCCAATACTTTCCCAACAACTTGTTTTTGGAGGCCAAATTGGGGAGACAGCCCAGCTACTGTTGGAAAAGTATTCTTTCAGCCCAAGAAATTCTTCGAAGCGGTATTCGACGTCGTATTGGCTGGCGATGGACGAGAAACACATCTTTGGGGTACTCCCTGGCTCCTTGAAGAAGTTAATCCTTACCCAAGCATGGCCAGACGCGTGGAGAATGAAGACCCCTTAGTGGCTGATTTTATTGACTTTGATTTAAATTCTTGGAATGTAGCAAAGCTGGAACAATACTTTGACGCTAATGAAGTGCTGCAAATTCGCAGGGTTCCTGTCAATACTAGAAGTTCCGATGGATGGTTCTGGATTAGGGACTTCCGTGGGGCTTATACGGTGAAAAGTTCTTATAGATGTTTGATGGGAGATGCTTCTGTCATGTCCTCTTTTTCAAACTGGGGAAGATTTTGGCGGATTCCGGTGGCCCCGAAAGTTCTCGTTTGCTTGTGGAGGGCCATTCGCCCACGCGGGATGCTCTCATTTCTAAGAGAGTGGAGGTGGATGGGGGCTGCCCTCTCTGTGGAGGAGCTCTCGAAACAGTTGATCATATTTTTTTGTTTTGTCCTTTTGTAGATTCGGTTTGGAGACTCATGGGCAAAGGAGGTAATAGAATCTCTTTTATCTCTTTCCAAAACTGGTTCCAAGTTCGGTGTCAGAATGACACTTTATTGGAGCTGCGTACCGTCGCTTTGACTTGCTGGGCAATTTGGAAAGCACGTAACATTGCCATTTGGGATCATAAGACACTGCATCCAGGAGAGCTCAAGAATATGGTGTTGTCCATGGAAGCCCAATGGTCAAACAAGACTGTTGCAGAGCGGGAGCGTACTCCACAGTGGCACGAGGTAAGTTTGCGGGCAGAGGCATACAGGTGTTTTTTTGATGCTGCGACATCAATTTCGGAGGAGTCCATCTCCTTCGGCTGTGTCCTTTTTGATCCGAGAGGTGCCTTTGTGGCAGCGGCAAATGGAGGAAAACTTGGGCCTCTAGATCCTCTTTTGGCGGAAGCTCTCGCTTGCAAGGAAACATTATCTTGGTTGCGGAATCGAGGTATTCGTGACGCTGAAATTCTTTCTGATTGTGAGGTTTTAGTGGGGGCTATCAAGCAAGGAAGGGCCTTTGAGTGCTACTCTTATCTAGATCCCATCCTTGATGATTGTGTTGAATTATTATCTTCGTTTACATCTATTGGCTTTCATTTTATTCGTAGGAATCATAATTGTATTGCTCATACACTTGCACGGTGTGCTACGCCCCATTTTGTCTCATGGAGCTGTACACCACCCAGTTGTATTGCACATCTAATTTCTTCTGAATGAAGTTTTTTTTTTCTGTTAATATATATATATATATATATATATATATATATATATATATATATATATATATATATATATATATATATATATATTTACATAGATAATATAAATTATATAGTTATTCCGTCTGTATCTGACTAATCACAATGGTGTAGTTGGAAAGTTTATTTTGAATGATGTCATGCTATAAATCTACCATTATTGACATCGCGAAGAGTGGATCATGATCACATGTAAATTTGTGCTCTGAATATTTACAGATAAATATCGCACAAATTCACACGATTGTTATCTTTGATACTAACAATGTTAACATTTTTGTTTAGATTGATCCATCATAATTTGTTTAATAAAAATCGAGAATTAATTTCACTCGCAGGAAAATAAAAGCCTAGAATTTACTCGACTATTTATTTTTTTTACAAAAAAAAAAAAGAAAAGCAACCATGCTAAGGGCACACCAAAAAGTGTTCCTCAAATTGCATCAGCATTTAAACGATTCACAATGGCACACAAAATACTAGTTTAATCAAAAAAACTATGTTGACATTTTGTATTATTGTATATCATCACACTGGCAAAAAATGTTAGTATATACTCCGTAACTTTTAGGTATCGTGTAGATACATATTTTTGGAGTACAAATACTCTAATTTAAAAAAAGCTCCCGAGTCGGAAGTAGGGGTGGACACGGTGCAGTTCCGAGACGGTTCCGGTTCCGGAACCGCCACCCCATGGCACCGGTACCGTGACCGGACCGGCTGGTACCGGTTCCAGTTCCCGGACTAGCGGTTCCAGTACCGGACCGGCCGGTTTCGCCCCCCCCCCTTTTTTTGCTTTTTTTAAAATTTTTAAAGTATAAAATTGTAAATTTGCAATTGTTTAAGGAAAGAATGAAATAAAAAATCTAAAAATGTAGTTGTTGTTTAAATATTGAAAATGAGTAATACACTAACTGAAGAACAACCACATTTAATAACCCGACGGTTCAAAAAAAGCCACGAGGTAAAGAACCGTAAAGAAACCCTCGAAGGAGCTTATATATCGCTCACCTAAAAAAACTAATTACATATTTACATTAACATAAAAAAATTTATAACTTATTCTTCAGAACTCGGACTTCCATCTGTGGTTGCATTCATGTAATGCTCCGATTCGAGTTGGTACGATGACTCTTGAGCTCGACGTCTTGCCAAAAGCCAATCTTGGTTGCAAACCAGTGTTTCAAGAGATTCAGCGTTAAGACAACTTCGATAGTCAGTTAGAATGTTGCCGCCAACACTGAATTCTCGTTCAACTGCTACGGTTGATACCGGGACGGACAACACTTGTCTTGCTAGCATGCCGAGACATGGGAACATGTGTTCGTTCCGCTTCCACCATCCGAGCACGTCAAAATCGACATCATCGTCATCGTAATCGCATGGCACACCCTGGTACATAGCAAGTTCGTTGTGCGAGCTTACTGGTGTACCACTTGAACTCGTCGAAGACTGGGCACGTTTCCCTTTCTTTGCAAGAAGCCCACCGACTATGCCGGCAAGACCTTTTTTTGATTTCAGGGGCGGAGGTGGTGCTGTTTCTTCTTGTACAGTACCGTATAACCCTTGATATTCCTTAAACAAATCCTCAAAAAGAGTTATAGCATTATCTCTTTCATTTTTCCATTCTACTAAATAGCTGTAGTAATAACTATTTTTATCTAAAAAACAACTGTAGTAATACTCAATTAGAATTTTAAAATTTTCAATCTTAAATCGTGGATCATAAATAATACCTATTTTATAAATATCAAGAATGTACAAATAATAAGTACACCATATATCTATCATAGGAGAGACATAGGGGTACAAATCTGGATCAGCCATACTTTCACGAAAACATGTTGCGATTGTAATGCACTCTTTAAAAAATGTATTTGTAGTTGGTTGGTAAACATGGGAAAAAGTAAGAGTTGCGTTATTAAAAACTTCTAATACGGCATTCAATTTTTCAAGAATAACAAATTTAAAAGGATTAATGATTATACGAAGTTCATCCCTAAAAAATTCAGCAAGTTCCTCTTTATATCTTAGGATCTGTGCAATCATTTTGTAAGTACTATTCCATCTAATGTTGATATCTCTGGCAAAACTTAATTTTTTTTTTTACCCTTAGACTTACAAAACATCTTCAAGGACCTCGAAATAAGACGAGCCCCCCAAATTTTTTTAATTCCTTCTTTAATATTTGTCAAAACTCCGCCCATAGCTTCTAGTCCCTGTTGAACACATAAATTTAAAACATGACAGGCACACCGTTGATGCAGAAATCTACCCATAGTCGTAGACGGTGGGCAAATTTCTCCAAGTCTAGGAATAGCAACAGTATTATTAGTAGCATTATCAAAACCAAATGAAAAAACTTTTTCAGATAAGTTATATTCCCGCAGAATACTCTGAAGCAATAGAAAAATATTTTTAGCAGTATGCTGATCATTGAAATCACGAAATGCAAGAACACGTTTATGCATAATCCAATCACTATCTATCCAATGACAAGTAACACCCATATAAGACAAATTATGATAAGTTTCACCCTAAATATCAAAACCAATAGCAACACGAGAATTAAAATTGAGAAAAAAATTTGCCAAATTAATTTTTTTCATTTTATACTGGCGAATAATTTCTCGTTTAATTGTTTTTCTTGAAAAACCTCGTGCTTGAGGGTTTAATGCATGTTGACAATAATCAATAAATTCAAGTTTTTCAGAAAACATGTATGGCAAATTTTCTTCACAAATCATTTCGGCCATTTTTTGCTTATTTTGCTCGTCGCTATAGCAAAAAAGGCCGCCCTTACCTCTGTTAGCAAACCGAGAAATTTGGGTTTGCACTTCTTGTCGTCCCTTCTTTTTCGCCTTGTATTTGGCGTACTCCACGGGATGCCTCGACCTAAGGTGTTTTTTCCGGAACGCCATAACCGCCGACAACTCCCATTTTAATGATGGTCCCACAATGTTTACAAGTTCCATAAACTATGCCATCTTTTGTTTCTTTGTCAAAATGATGAACAAATAAATATGATTTTAATTTTTTTTTACCTTTGTCCGGACCTCGAGAGGTCTCGGACTCACCTGCCTCCACGTCGACGTCGTTGCTTTGCGGTGTAGGCTCATCGTCCCCGTCAAGATTATCCAGTCTTGCTTCATCAACATCCTCGAATAGACTATCAAGAGTGGGGAGATTCGCGTCCCCTCTACCATAATAAATCTGGTTGAATTCTTCATCCGTCATACCGTCCCCGATTAAATGATGTGGGACAGTAGGAAAGGAAGAGACGGAGTGTCTTCCTCGAGAACCGCGTGAGGTCGAACCGTCGGAGGTGGCTTTAGCTTTGCCTCTCCTCAAACTTCGGTTCACGGCGCCCATATCCACAGACCTTCTACCGGACTCTCTCGACATTTTAATA